CGCTTGCTTAGGGGACTGGATTTTTCGGGGGGGCCCTAAACTCACTTACTCCTCTGGCTAATAAATCTGCCCTATGCAGAGGTTTTTTCTTCATAAATACCATAGTGTATCACAGTGTTGATATAATATGATGTTTTGGTGTTTTTTTTTCTCATCGTCCCTTGTGTGGTTTTTCTGTTTTTTTCTATTTAAGTTGGCACCATGGAAGGCAGCCTGTTACTGCGGCTCCCCTGTCTTGAGTTGCTGTAATGTGCAAATTTCCCCATTGTGGGATCAATAAAGTTCTATCTCATCTTATCTCTCATCTTATCTTCTGTCATCAGGGTGTAAGATTGACGTGCAAGGATCTGGTCACGTGACAGTGAGGCCCGTCCAATCGATGTGACAGCTCACCCTTAAGGAGTGACCAGGTCTGGAAGATTGGGTTTATATATCAGTTAACCTCCTGAATTCGTGGCCAATATTGTATGCCTTTATTTCTTGCAATTAACATTCAAGTCTAATTCTGTATTTGTTTCTTGGTTCTCGCACTGAAGTAAAGAACATATTCTCATTCAAGACCATGATTTTCAGTGTGCCCTGGGCAGCTTTGTAGCCAACCCACATAGCAGAGAGGTGTGGCAAGTGATTTGTCAGCTGGATCCAGGTCTGGCAATGATGACACCGTTTTCAAGATGGCATGCCACAACTGGCCCGGTTGTGATTTAGTTTATGTAGTGCTGGCCCATGCATAGACCATCTCTGTTAAATCACATCTGGGCCACCAAAGGGCCGCCATTCTTTCCCATATCTGGGCCAAGTGTTGAGGCCTCCACATACTCCATCTGAAGCCTAAGAGTCGAAGTGTGGTCACTTGGTTGTTCGGCTTTTGATTTAGCAATCACCTGTCATAGCCCCCGAGACACCGCGTTCCAGAAAAACCCTTCCCATTGTGGAAAACATCACTGCACAGGCCTGAAGTCTACACTCCGAAAAAATAAAAATAAAATAAAATAAAAGAAACTGCAATCTGTCATTGCTTGTCCACAAATCTGTCCTGGTTAAAGCTCCACACTTTTCTGCAGATGAATTCCTCTGTGCAAAATATGTTTTTTTTTTTCTTTTTTTTTTAAAACTGCATTCATGAGTTTTTGGTCGTTTGACTATCTTTATATATGTCTGCTTCCAGACACAACAATTGAATTCTGGAAGTGAGTCCTTTTTTTTTTTTTTGTGGAAGCAAGTAGTTGAAGTAAAATGCAGTGTCTGAACACTTTCAGCCTAGACAAACATGGCCACAACCTTCTGACCAATCACACAGTAAGTTCTTACGTGGAGGGGGGTGAAAAGTTCTCCCAGCGGGTTGTGACAAGACAGGATGGAAGACTCAAAGCTGCAAACTGAATGATGTAATTTCCATCATGAAACTGCGACAATGAGAGCCAATTTCGGCAGTTTGGATGGAGCACATGGAGGCCTTTAGTCCACATAATGCTTCATATGATGAAGTTTCAGAAGCCAAAAGTAGATCTAGGGTCAACATTACATTATAAAGCACATAATCCTCAAACTGTTCAGGATAAAGTTGAATAAAACCACTTCTAGTAGTTGCTTCTCTGAGTGAAAAGATGAAAGATAGGAAGTTTTGAGAAAGTGTGTTGACTTTGCAGAATGAACAATACATGACAGTAAGAGAAGAAGTGGCCCTGTGAGCAAATGAGTTAGTGGGAGTGAATCTATCATTAAGATGCATAGATGAGAATTTCCAACCATCTCTTTCATTTGAGGCACTTCATTAAAACAGAGTCAACATGCATTAGTCATGGTGGATGCTTCGGCTCTGGGGGGTAATTATGGTTGAAGTAGAGATGCTGTCACCCGCACTGATGGACATCCTGCCATAACAGCTATTTCAATCTTGCTTGCACCATTACTGCTGTCACAAGTCTGAAGCTGACTTTTATGCAAAGAATTGGTTTAACATTGTAATTTGCTTCATGCCTTCAGAAACAATAGCATTGTTTAATAGTCTGTTTAGTTTCACAGGTAGTTATCTCTGGAGCTTTAATTTTGGGTAATGTGACCATTAGTGGTGGGGATTACAATCTGTTTTTCAGTGAAAAGCAATGTGGTCATAAATTGTTCTGAACTGAATTAAACTTTCTTCAATGAAAGTCAGTGTTGAGAAGTAATCAGTTTCTATTGAGCTGAAGGGAAAAATGACAGTGACAAAACCTAATTAAATATACAGTATGTTGTGTAAATGCTTTTACTCAGAGGAAGAAAATAAAAAAAACAGCTGGAGTTTTCATCTACCACTAACAAGAGGACCATCGAGTGACAACAAGAACATTTCCTTTCTTTAAAAAGTGCATAACAAAATTTATTGATTTAACTGCGTATACCTATACCAGGGCTGGGTTCAAATCAAATCAAAACTTTTTTTATATAGCACTTTACATACCCCAAGGCAACCAAAGTGTTGCAAGGCAAAAAATAAAAACATAGTAATATAAAAGCGTGCATACACCACTACAAAAATAAAAACAGAGGGGAGAAAAATATATATACAGTATAGAGAGAGAGATACTGCGCTATTACATGTGCTCTCTGGAGTTAAAAGCCAAACCAAAAATGACAGGTCTTTAAAAGAGATTTAAACTCATTAAGTATTCTGGCAGACCTCACAGAAAGAGGGAGACTGTTCCAAAGTTTAGGAGCCACAGTTGAGAAGGCTCTGTCCCCTTTATTCACCAGCCGGGTCCTGGGAACCACCAAAAGCATCTGATCCTCAAATCTCAGAGCTCTACCTGGATGATAACTGTGTAGCAGCTCAGAAAGGTAACCAGGTGCCAGACTATTTAAACATTTCAAAACCAAAACTAAAATTTTAAAAACAATCCTAAAAGAAACAGGCAGCCAGTGAAGACAATGCAGTCCAGGTTAATGGGCCTCATGCAAGAACCGTTCGTACGCACAGATTTGTTCTTAAATTGTGCGTACGAGTGATTTAGGAGAATTTGTGGCATTCACCAATGTGAAGACCCCTTATGATGGACGTTACCATTGGATCTGGCGTTCCCTCGCCCGGACGCGGGTCACCGGGGCCCCCCTCTGGAG